AACGCCATCGTAGCGGTGTTTCATGATTTCCACGTCCTCAACGTTCTTTAGTTTACCTTCAACGGTTGACTTCAGGTCTTCAAATTTCTTAGCGTTGTCTTCCATTTTATCTAGCATTTCGTTCATAACTTTGTTGTTGTCTTTCATTTCGTCATTCATTCTGTCAATTTTTTCGTCCATTTTCCAACTATTGTCGCTCATTTCGTCTATCATTTTCCTACTGTTGTGTTCCATTTTGCCCATTTCTTCGTCCATTTTCCTACTGTTGTCTTCCATTTTGTCGCTGATCTGCATGAGCATTGCAATTAAACTGGGGTTCTCCATTGCAGGGTCTTCCTTCTTTGATTTACTTCTTGTTTCCATCAAAATTCAACTTGGATTCTGGAAAATCCCACTTCTGACATAAAATGTACCGTGGATGGCCGAGTATCAAACTCTTTCTTCAGCTTCCAACTTTTATTCCACTCGGTATCGCTTTAACTACGGAACAGGAACAAACTAACTTCCAAATTAGCGTCAACTTCACAAGCAATAACAATAACAGGCGGAAAACTCCGACTTCCAACTCGCGAGGTTTAACCTCTTCTGAACTCGGCCGCTGCTGTCACTTCACTAACCCCCGTCTTTTTTTAGTTTTTTTTTTGTTTGCCCAACGGCGGCTTGAAAATAAAAATCTTCTCGAAGACACCCAGTGTCTCGTGACACCAGGTAGTGTTGGATTTCTACCAACTAAAAAACCTCCGTTTTTGACTGCAAGTTTCCAGGAGTTACCCTTTAAAACTTGTGGTCTTCTGTAAGAATGGTTCAGCTCTGGCATCCGCATGCCTTCACCTCCCATTCTCTCCATGCTAGCTAACTGCTAGAATGGGCATCTTACTAATTTGACACAAGCACTACACCACTCAATGCTACTTCTATCACTCTATCCTAAAAGTTATACACTTACAGCACTCTACAGTTTACTGCTTGTACCTATTTATTGCTCTATTGGGCCATCTGGTGTCTGGGCCTTTTTTTCCTGGGCCCATTGTCCTCTGGGGAATAAGCTACGGCATTTCGTAGCTCCTCGATTTTCCTGCGAAGGTTTTCTGGTAGTTCCTCACGGGCTACTAGTACCTCCGCAGTCACCGAACTTCTCGCGTGTGCTTGCAGGATTGTCTCACCGAGTCTTCTTGCCGCTCCCCCTGGTCTGGTTCTCGTCGTCGCTTATATAGATTCCTTCAGGTAACCCAGATGGTTCTCGAAATCTCCAGAACAGGTGCGAAACTTCCCGCTTGTCAGTGTCATATTTGACAGTAAATGGGGCGCAAATGGGGCTCCCATTTACTGCAATACCATGAATTTTGATCTCTTCATTTCAAAAGTGAGTACCCGAGGCCATTTCCGTTGCAATATAATAAATTAGGGCAAATGATAATCTGGCGCCAGTCGAGTGCTACCTCAACATCGATAAGGCCCCATATGGGTTTTTCCAGTTGATTTTCTTTTGCTGTTTGTGCACGAAAGCCTAAACTGTTTGTTCCTTGGCCTGGTTGTTTAGCTGAACGTTATGTTTTTGTTTCCCGAATTATTGAGCGAACCAAAGAGGCGAGAAAGATATAAAAATA